CTGCTTCAGATTCTGTGTCTCCTTCTCTCTCTGCCCCTTCCCCGGTCATGCTCTCTCTCTCAAAAATAAACATAAAAGATGCTCAGGAGTAAAGGCAGACATTATCATATACTCTTAAAAAAAAAAATGGCAAATCTTACTTTATATGTATTTTACCATAACTTAAAACATGAAGACTGGTCCCCTTGGGTTTGGGCTGAGTGACAGATGGGCTTCTATGAGACCTTTCTGGAGGGAGTTCCCTTGGGACACACTGTAGGCACCCTGAGTGTCATCATTCACGGTGAACCAGGATACTCTCCACTCTGCAAATCTAGGACACGCCTAGGCTGCTGGAAGTGGGGAACAATAGGAGGAAAGAAGATGAGAAGGCCGGGTGCGGGGGCTGGGTCACAGAAGGAACTGACCTCCAGCACCCCCGGAAGGGGCTGAGTCACCCACAGGAAATCCAGGCGTGCCGGAGCGGCCACCACGGCCAATTTTATCTTCCAGCAGCACTGGCTTCCTAACGGACAGGCACCGGGCGTGATAGGAAGAACTCCAGTTCTGGGGCTCCACAGAGCTGGGCTGGGGGACCCCATCAGCCTCCACAACCTGACCTGGAGCCTATCTGCAGCAGGTTTACCGTGAGAAGCAAATGATCTCTTCTTACAAAGTCCCAAGCACAGTGACAGCAAGAATGGAAGTTAACATTTACCGGGGGCCTCACTACGTGCCAGCTCCTACCGCGAGCACCACACAGACCCGGATCTGCGTAACAACTCCACCAGTCAGGTCCGATTAATGAATCCCCACGTTACAGATGAGGCAACTGAGACTCAGTGAGGTTCAAACCCAGGCCTTCCAGCTCCAAGGCTGGAGCTCTTAACCTCCTAAACCATGGGTTTCTGAACTGGAGCTTCTGGAGCAGTGTGACTGCAGGGCCCCTGGAACTCTGCCTGCCCTGCCCCAAGCACTGTCACAGGCGAGTACTTTCAGGCCCTGCTTTGTTCTAGAGAGAGTGCATCTCACCCTCCTTGAAATACAAGAAGGCTTCTTCTCTCTGGGATGGGCAGAACTCCGAAATCTCCTTTTTCTCCACTAAATACAAGAAAATAGGGCAAAACAAAACACCTCCATTCAAGCAGACGAACAGCCAATACAGCAGAGCATCACTTCCCTGGAAATTTTTAGGGAATTCGCATTCTTGGTCAGCTCACCCAAAAGTGCATGTACCATGCCTTAAAAATAGTTCATCTGAGGGGTGCCAGGCCGCATGGCTCAGATGGTTAGGTGTCTGACTCTTGGTTTTGGCACAGGTCATGATCTCATGGTTTGGTTTGTGAGTTTGAGCTCCGCATCAGGATCTGTGCCATGTGGAGCCTGTTTGGGATTCTCTCTGCCCCTCCCCCTCCTCGTGCTCTCTCAAAATAAATAAATAAACTTAAAAAAGGCCCGTCTGACAGTCTCTGACTGGCTTCCCCGGCACTTGGCCTTTGAGACAAAGCTAGCAGGTCCCTCTCATCCAGACAGGAGCTTGGGGG